AAGAAAAAAACAATTGCTGAAAGACAAATCCTCATTTTAGGGAGAGGAATGAAGGAATTAACATATTTGCAGCTAAACCCAGCAACTAAAAGATAAGGAACTTAGAACTAAAGAGCCCACAAGAAAAAAATATCATAAAAGCACTAGTTACATTAAGAGTAGAGAGCGATCATGGGGCTTTGGCTGGAATGCCCTTCAGCAAATTATCTTCACACAGGTCCTTGAAGATTGTAGGGGTCACAATGTCATATGAGGTAATTTTTAAAAAAGTCTGAGGTGTTTCAGGAAGTTCTAGCAAGACGTGTATTAAATCTTGGAGCTAAAATCACTGTTTGCATAAATGCTGTCAAAGCCAGCTCAGTTGCTTTCTTCTGCCAGCTTGGAGTTGGAGGCCAAATTTTCAAAGCACCTGAGGACAGAGACTCTGTGTGAGCTTCCAGAGGTGTCCACCTCTCCTTGAAGGATGCTCTGCATAAAGGCATCTGGGCATCCAGTGCAGTTTTAGGTGCTTGAACCAACAGCTGCAATGCAATCATCACCTCTAAAGCATTTCTCCCCCTACCCTTCTCTGAGAAGTTTCTCAGCACGGCTGTTTGTACCAGCGTGATGGGATCCTCTCCAAAAACTAAAGCATCATTTCCCTTCATTTGATAGGGGCAGGCTGGGACTAGACTCTGTATGTTTGCCATGCAGGTCCAGAGGAATGAATTCTAATCTGTTATTCTCTCCACTTAATAAACATCAGAACTGGGAGGTGGGAGTTGGGAGAAGCTGCTTCAAACAAAACATGAAGTCAGTAGTTACAGTGGAAATGAACAATTTGGAGTTTTCGGGAGACATCCTGTATGAACAGGGGGATGAGAAACTGTCAGGCTGGAAGGGAAGTGAATACCTTTATCAGGCAGATTCCAGCCTAATAAATTAAAAGGTGATAAATTTATTCTTGATGTAACAGATGATTTCAAGACACCATAAAATAAATTGATGGCAGAAAGATACTGAGCAGGATATTACTTATTAGGAGAGAAGAAAAAAGAACTCTGAGGTGAGGTTTTGAAGACCTGAGAACATCCTTCCCTTCTGCACAGCTGCAGTCATTAAAACATGAAGTGCATGTGGAAAACTGCAGGGATACACGGGGTGTGCACTTAAGGAAAGGGAGGTGGGAACCTCTTCAGCACTGTAAGGAAACATCCACACTGAGGAAAAAAATAGAGTGAATGAAGATAAAGAGCAGATTATTCTGGGGATCAAACTTTGCTGTGCTCTGAAGAAAAAAGGGGGCAACTACAGCATGTTTCCCTCACTGCCTGCTGTCACAGACCCACATGGTTTCTGGCATTGTTGGAGAAGAGAGAGACTGAGGATAGGTGGCTGATGTTGGTGCTTTGATCACTGACGCTTCTCAAGGGGACGCTGTGCTGTGCAGAATTCTTGGTGCAGAGCCATTCCCTCTATCTTGAAATTCCTGGCATCATGTTCTCACTCCAGAGACCAGCTCCCAGCAAAGCTGCCACAGCCAGGCTGGAAACCTTGTCTTTCTGCACGTCCCAAACCTGTGAGGTACTCACACAGACCCCAACCCATTGCGTTTCTTCCCCTGGTAAGCTGAGGCAGAGGCTCCCCTGTGCAGGTGAAGGTGTGGGTGTGTTCTGGGCAGTTGTGCCGAGGTCAGTGGCAGCTTGGGTTCCTGTCCTGGAGAACTGCATTAGACTGGCTGAGCTGGGACACCATTCTGCTAAAAAGACAGGATTTACCTGCAGACTCCCTAGCAATGGAAAGAGTGTTTTATTCTTGCTGTGTACAGAGAGATTTCCTTGTTTATGAGTAGAAGTTTATTCAGCCTTCCAGTGTTGTCCTGGGGTCTCAGAGTGCAGCTCCCAGTGACAACACAGCTGGCAGCCAGCTGGGTTGGCACTGCTGCTCCCTGAGCTCTCCCAAATCCCCAGGGACAGCATTCAAAGGGGTCACTCCAGGGCCTGCTGGTTCCAGGATGGTCATTTCTTCACCTTTCCCTTTAGGAGGTGTCTGTCCCTGTGGGGGGAAATCCCAGGTGGGATTTCATGCACAGAGCAGAGCCACAGTAGGAACGATTCTGTTCCTTCCTCATTTTGTGAAAGAACTCTGTTTAGCTGCAGTAATTTTGTGGGATCTCCAGAGTTTCTAAGACAGGAATTTCAATGCTGGATTTGAAAGCACTGCCTGTATATTTCCTAGTTTTGGTGTTTGTCATTCAGGCCTGCAAATGAACCTTTTACATATCTCTGGACATTCCTTGTGCCCTTGGATATAAGAGTGAATATCGTTAAATAGGTTTATCATAAAGATTTAATATTTGAATACATAACTATATAGTTTGGATAATAACTATCTTGCTATAATACCTGATATGTATTGGCAACCTGGATAACTGTGTTTGCTTTTACCTGTGTCTACAATCAAATCCTTCAGAGACAAATCCCAGGAGTGCTAGGAAGGAGGTGGAGGAGGTACCAACATGAAGGAAAGGAAGGCAGTTTGGGTAGAAACATTTTTATGCCTTTTTATTTGTCTGACAGTTTTAGGCCCTCTTCATTCACGTATTTGAAACAATGACTGAGGTTCATGACTGATTAATATATGATTTATACTCACTGTCAGTACTTTCTAGAGATAAATTTGACTTAACAAACCAAACATAGCTGATCAAAACCTAGAAACACTTTGCAAAGAAAATCCTGTGTTTCTCTCAGAAACAAACATCTAAAGCAACAAAGCCAACAGCAAAGTTTATTTCTGATCAGAAAGTTGTGTTAAATGCTGAGCCTGCCAGTGGCTGAAGTTACAGAGCTCCATTCCTGCCTGGGCTTTGCTCCTGTGACTTCACCCCTTTGTCCTGGACAAGAGCAGGATTCTCCAGGCACGGGAAGAGCTGCACTTCTGCTTCTGAGCCTTTGCTCTTGCTCAGGAAATTCAGTGTTGGGAGAGTAAGCAGGTTCAGTCCCTGCCTTACATGAATGCTCTATGGCTGAGGAGTCTGCTTCTGTCATCCCTCCCAAAAGCCTGGGACAGCTCCACTCTCTTTCCATGGTCACTATAAAATTGGACCATGGCCACAGCTTGGTTTGGTTATTTTCCTGGCAAATGCCTACCTGGCATTTTGTTAATATTATCTTTGTCAGTAGAACATTTCACAATCTGGGCCCTACAGTAATTAAAGAGAAGAGCCCTGGTGGAGAGGCCCAGAATGTCAGACCTGATGAACTGTATCAGTAAGGCCAAAGTAAAAAAAACGCATAGTCTAAAAACTTAATTTTAAGAGATATAAGTACCCGTTTGGAAATGAGTGCAATACTCAGCCTGCTCTGAACTGTTTGCTGCAATATTTCTATTACAGAGCTCCATAACCTGAAGCCAATGCAGTAAAAGCTGTCCTGCCATGGAGGAGTGGGAGTGAGAGTGGCAGGGAAAAATCCCAGTTAAGGGTCAAGGATCATGAAGGCAGAGAATGGGTAGGAAATGGTTTTCATGTATGAATTCCAAACCAAACACAGACTGGCTACATATATAATGAAGTGCTTTGAAATGTCATTTTTTGCATCAGGTAAACCCAACATTATTCTCAACATCATTTTTGGAGTATTGACCTGTAACAACATAAGCACACAATGAGTATTTTCTCACCAACTCTTCAGGCAGTTCACTGACAAATGAGGAGGCTGCCACATGTAGCATTTACACTTTGCAGTTATTTTTGTACTGCTATTATGTGTTTTCCATGACTTAGGTGGTGCCAGTTTGTCATCTAGTAGGTAGCCAGAGGCTGAACAATTTTAATCAGAAGCTGCTAATTTTGCACTCACTCTTCAGCCCAATTTTAACAGGTTTTTTGAGGAGTTTAAGGGTAACCAGGCAGTCTGAGAGACAACACTTGGCACTGACTTGGTTTTGCACTGTCTTCACTTTTACCAACCAAACTCTGCTCCCAGTTACCAAAGTTTTCTTAGGGGTAGATCCTACAAATACCTGGTGTTGACAGAAGCTGGTCTTGACACTGACTAATTTCTCCAAGTTGATAGGTTGTGACAGCAAATATTTAAATTCTTATTATTTCTAGTATGTGAATGATAGCAGCTGTCTGACTTTGTTCTTTCATGCACAGTCCAAAGTAAATAAGGGAACTTCTTGTCTGTTCTTTCTTTAAACCTTACACGTAATCTTATGTTTTCTCATCCATTATGGGCATCTTTGATTGAACATGGTTACAAAGTCATGGTCTAGTTACAACATGGCTTTTCTTGAGCTGCAGCACTTGCTCCAAGAGGGATCTTGAGGATTTTAATTGGTGTGTGTCTATTTTTGTCATTATGCTTTCTTCCATCTAAGACATCGAACATGCTACTCTGCTTCCCTGCATTCACATGGTTTTCTGCCAAAATAGGACCAGTGACACAAGGATAATTGGCTCCTTCAATGCTGTATTTCCTTTTCAAAAAGCCTTCGTGTAATAACTACAAAAGGCAGTCATAAAAAGGAGAGTAGAAGCAAGTCAAATGTCAGGAATTGTTTTATTTCAGTGACTGGAAGTAATTTTTAGCCACATTTTTTTTCACTAGTGGGTGCCAAAATGATATAAATTTTGATTGATGCCAGTGTGCTCCATTTGTAAATCAGTTTTAGCAGCTATGTGCTAATCTGTTGTTATGGGAGAAAATGCTGAAAAGAGCATTTTAATTTTTTAAAAAATGAAATATTGAAGTACTTGTACCTGACACAAAATTTATGATCCTCAATTTCAGACAATTCTGTAATTTCTATGAGTTTTGTCTTTATAAATATTACAAGGTTAAGCACATTTCTGTTAACTCAGTTGTTTCCTTAGTCAGGAAGCTATTTCCTTTTTAATGGGTTGATGTGTATCTGGTAGAGGACTTTAAAAATTATATTCCTACAGCTGTACATGACTGCAAGGCATGCCATTAGTGCAGTATAAAAAAACATAAGAAAAGGAGATTACTTACGGAGACTGGAATAATTACTGCCTATTCCAATACCAGTGGAGCTTCCAGAGATGACAGGAAGGTGGAGGAAAAGAACTAGGGAAGGAAAAAATAAGAGAAAAGTCCTTCATAGCAGTTTGGGTTTGTTTTGCAACCAGATGTCAGTTGAAGACATGCTGTGTTAATGTGTCCCTGCTCTCTCTGGGCAGGACTGCTCGTTTCAGATTCTGAGTGTACACAGAGATGTAGCTCAAACAGAGGGGAAACACCAAACCAGTCATTGCTTCATACTCCAGGAGTCACTCCAGTTCAGGAAATGGTGTGAATACCTCTTAGATTCAAAACCCCACATATAAACAACACTGCATTATATAAATAGGTTGATTATTGTTGTTAAGTCAATCACCAGTCCCTGAAATAGGCACCTACCACTGTTAAACCAAATAATTCCCCTAATTTGTTTAAGTGCAACTTAAATGCGTCAGGTTTGTGTGTGTTGAACTGGGCTGGAATAAATTTATTCTAAAATTTGATACAAACACTCCCCCTATGCATTCCAGCTTTAATATTTATAACTTGCACTCGAAAGATTTATACTTACAGGCAACAAAATGCACATGAGTAAAACGTGTCCTAAATAACAGAAATCTTTAGCTTTCTTAAAAGATGGGCTCGTTTGCTCTGCAGATGCATTGCAAAGCTGAGTTCTGGCAGTGACTCGGGTGTGACCCAGCCCTTGTCCGGGGGCTGGGCTGTGGCACCCGGGCTGAGCCCTGTCCCCTGTCCTTGTGCCACGGGGGTGTCCCGGCTCCTGCCCCCCCGGCGGCTCCGCCATCCCCGGCTCTGGGGCACGGCCGGGGAAGGGGCTTCTCCCTTTTCGGGAGGGGTTCCCGACTAACAAACTTTCTGCGGCTGGCAGGGTCCTGTGGGGTGCGAGACCCGCCCCGCCGGACCCTGCAGCTCCCGCGGCTCCTCCTGCCTTACCCGGCTCTGCTCCTCCTTTACCCCAGCACGGTTCAGCCCTTTCCTTACCCCAGCACGGCCGCTGCCTTTCCCTGGCACGGTTCATTCCCTTCCTTTCTCCAGCTGGGTTCAGCCCCTGCCTTACTCCAGCCCGGCCCTTACTTTTCTTACCCTCCCCGTGTTCAGCCGTTTCCTTTACCCCAGCCAGGTTCATTCCCTTACTTTCCCCATAACGGGTTCATTCTCTTTTCTCACGCCGGTCCGTTTCATTCCCGTCCTCTCCCCATCCAGATTCATCCCCGTCTTTACCCTATCCCTATTCATTCTCTGCCTTTCCCCATCCCGGTTTATCCCCATCCTCCCCCACCCCAATCTATCCCGTTATCCCCCTATCCCTGTGCATCCCTGTTCCCCCATCGCTGTCCATGCCCCCTCCCCGCCGCTGTCCGTGCCCTCCTTACCGCAGCCCGCCGCCGTGCCCGCTCTCTCCATGCGCCCCCGCCGCGCTCCCTGCCCGTGCCCAGCGCCCGCCGCGGCCGGAGCGGGGCCGTGCCGGGGGGGCCGTGCCGTGACCCCCGCCGGGCGGGCAGGGCCGGGCACGGGGGGAGCCGGGGCCGCACATGCCGGGGGGGCCCGGGGCGATCCCGCCGCGCATCCCGCCGTGTGCGGGCCCCGGGAGCGGCAGCGAGGAGCGGGGATGCTGCGGGGCTCGGGGATGCTGCGGGGGATCCCCGCCCGGAAAAGGAGCCGTAGGCGGATAACGGCGCTGGAAAGGCGAGTCCAGCCCAGCACTCGGACTGAAAGGGAGGGACTGCCTGGAGCAAACCCGCGGGGATGGACGGGATTAGCTGGCAGTGCAGAGGCAGGGATTCCGTGGGGCTGGATAGGGGTAGGCGAACAATGTAGTCTAGAGTCTAGCTAAGAGCTCCTTACAATAGTAAGATCTGCTTGTTACCAGGGATCTTGGAAACGTTTCTGAGTATGGATGATAAATGCTCTAGTGCTCTAGCACTCTGTTTCTAGAGGAAACAGGGCTGCAGCAGGTACTAAGCCGAGGAGCTTCCATAATTGTGTGTTTACCTGTAAGAATAGAGTGTCATTAGCTTTTTGAGGTAAACAATGCAATGGTGAGGCCTGTCAGCAGTTTGGGTTTTTTAGGATCCGCGTTCCATTGGCAGTTCCTGTCTGCCGTGCACACAATGGACCTGCAGGATCTGGCAGAGTGGTCGCGCTGATCCTGTTGGTGAGTGAGGGACGGGGAGGTGGAGCTTCACGAGTGTGGAGTGTGTACCCAGACTTCTTTGCTTCCGTACCTTGAGGTGGTTTTGTAGTCCAGAGAGCAGGTTCCGTCACGTAGGAACAGCTCTGAGCTGTTAACTCCTCTTTGGTTTAGTAGTGATGGATTCAGGGCTGTGCTGGACTTTGGGGTGGATGTAAGGCTTGTGAACTCCCGATCGTTCTGTAAAAAGTTTCCTGCTGTCACTGATCACCTTTTTTATTTTTTCTTTTCTTTTTAAGTCTGGGGAAGCGTTAAATGAGTATAAGGCAATTGAAATCAAGGTTTAGGGAATGTTATAGGTGTGTTTCCTCATGGCTTGGGGATACCTGCACCTCTGGACAAAACTGTAGTACCCGAGTACCCTAAAAGGCCTTAGGATGCTGCTGCAGAAGTTATCTTCTGATTCACTTCTTCAGCTTCTCAGAACATTCAACTCCTTGGAAGACCTTTTAATTGCAATTCTTTATTTAATAAATGGAAACTACATGGCTTCATTTTAGGGCTCTTTGTTGTTTGACTATGATATGAAGGTGTGAATCTGCATATGCAGCAGATAAGCTGATTTCCTGCATGTTGGATTTTGGATATGTACCCTCTTGGCCTCATTCTGCATCCGAAGAATCATGTGCGTGTGTAATGCTGCACTCAAGGACAATAAAATATATTCTCCACTTTAAATTTCAGGAATTTCTAATGTTTAGCCCTTCTGCAAATTTTGGTGATGATATCTTTCCCCATTGGAACCCTACATTTGCTCATAATACTGGTATTAACTATAGTCCTGGCAGACTTGGTGTTTTATGTTTGACTGAAAACAAACTGTGGGAAATGTAGAGGCCTTAGTACCTGACTTTGGATGCAGGGGAACTGCTCAGGGTTTGGCAGTTCTGCAGAAATCTCTCTCTCAGCCTGGCTTTAGAGCCATTTTTGTGATAGTCTTGTCCTCTGCTGGAAGAGTTGCAACTGCTTCTGAGACAGAGAACATTTGTTCTGGGTCAGAAAACACAATGTACACATGATCCATCAGAGCCTGCAGAAACATCATCCCACTTATCAGAAACCTTTTGGACCCTCACCAGTACTCGGTGTGCTCCTCTGGAATAGACCCACATGTTGCAAACTTTGCTCACCCCACTGATTTCCAAATCTGCATCACATTCATATGGACATGGGGTAGGTTTTTACCCCTTTTTCCTCTGTGTTTTTTCAGCTTTTGGGGTTTCCCTTTTTTCTCCTCAGTGGCACCTGACTGGCACTTGGATGTGGTGTGGGATTCAGGGCAGACTGTTATTTGCTGGCAGGGTGATGCTGTGGGCAGTTTACATCATTATTGGTTTCTTCTTGTGGCATCTGCTTTTCTGTTTTGATAAAATAAATTTGTATTAAAGAAAGTTCTCCACAAATAAATGATTTATACATAATTTGCTTATGGGCTGCATTTGGGAGAGTTGGAACAAAGATGAACACTATCCAGGATTATTGCTGCTCATATCTGTTGCTTTTAGTTTAGCTTGGTTTAGAACATCCCAGAGCAAGGGAGACCAAGGTAATATCTGTCTCTGTGGTTCACGGCCTGTGTGTCCCATCTGAATTCTGCCCCTTCTCAAGAAAGTTCTTTCCTAATCTGTAGGAATGAGGAGTGTGCCCTGTGGAAATCAAGTACATTAGGTAAAGTTTGGAATGGTATTCCTGATGGATGGAACTGGACAGAGTTGCTGTCGCCAGTGGGTGTTTCCCAATTTACTGACAAGGGAAGATGAGCAAGGAACCCTTGCTGAAGACAGATAGTTCTATTCTTGGATGATTTTACATTTGCCCCAACCTTGGGACTTCATTATAAAGCTGAAGTGACAGACCTCAGCTCAGCTCCCATCTCCTGTGGCTTCATTTGGGATTCTTGGAGCTGAAGGGATGCTGCAGTGTGGTGGCTCTTGGTGACAGCCAATTTTTGTAAGGCAAAATAAATTCTATTGCTATAACGAGATCTCTTTTCAACTGAGAATTTTTATGTATTCATAACAAGGCTTTGGGGGATACTGTTTTCACTTCCTTCTTTTTCTTTATGGAAAAGGTGGCAATGGAATCAAAGCCATTTGGATTATACAGTTAGTCGTAGATAAAATGCCTGAGGATGAGCAAAATTGATTAATAAATGTTTTTTGTATGGAAAATCAAATAGCAGTGATTTTCCTCAGTGCTGGCTGCTGCAGGAATCCCATCACCAAATGGATTCAGATCTCTCTGCCTTCTTGTCACTTGGCCAGGGCTTGCCCAGCAGTGCCAGGAGAGCTGGGCATTCCCAGGGCCAGGAGAGCTGCGCATTCCCAGGGCCGGGACAGCTCATCACACCCGGGCTGAGGGAATTCCTTGCTGGGAGTTCCCACTGTGTGATGGACCAGGCTGAGTAAATCTGTGCTTGCTGCTGGAAACAAAAGAGGTCAGGAAAACAGGGTCTGGAATTTGATGGGAAGCACCTCATGCTTTCACAGCTCCCTGAGTTCTGAAATGTGATAAACCAAATCCTTTGAAAGAAGAGATTTCAAATTTTCTGAAAAAGCCAACCAGATAGACATTTGCCAGATCCTAAAGATTTTTTGACTTTGAACATATTGTATAATTGCTAACAAAGGAAATTCCTCTATGCTGAAAGCTATTTTAATGAAAATAGTGGAATTAAAAATACATAAAATTACCACCTAACATTTTTCAGCTAGTGTTTATAGGACAGGTAAATTTATTTGAACAATATTTTCTAGAGTTTTAAATCAAGTGTTTTACTTCTTCAGGCATAAAATCTGTCAAGAGGAAAAATAATTTTAAATTAATAATACAGATGAAGCATATCAGTAACAAATATTTTACAGCAGCATGAAAGCCCAAAGGCAGAAGTCGTGTTCTTTTACATGCTATGGAAAGAAATGAGAGCTGGAATGAAGGGGCTCTTCATTCTGTTCCCATAGTTTCTATGTCGAAAAAGGATTCTGTAGGAACTTTATGTCCTGCCCAAATTCTCAGAGGCTGTTTTTCTGATTTTGAAAGTTGACAACTGCCTTTTTCTGTGGAACAAAAGGTGCTCTCAGGCTCTGGGGTCAGAATTAGTTTCTTGTTTATTCACCTCTTGCAGAGGTTTGAGGAGAATGGAGAGTTATGCTGTCATTGTCTGATGTGTATATATATATATATATTTTAATCTCTACATATGCCCTAAGAAATAGGGCCCAAGATTGCTATTGAAAATCCAGTTATATCTCCCCTGTCTGACTGTGGTTTCAATCTTCCTGATGCCAATTGAGTTAATTTTTAAGGAGGTAGAATGGCAAATTATATCTCAGTGTTCTTTTTCCTCTCATTCTGCGACTCCTTAATTCAATTTATAGTTAATTATGCAATTTATTTTGTGTTGAACTTTCAAGGACCTTAAAGTATCTGACAGTGAATGTAGAGTGTCTCTGTGGATTTCCAAGAATCCTTGTATGAATTTGTTATAAATTCGAATGGGACATTTAGAATTAAGGATGGCCAATGGATTACTAACAAATAATAACATCAATGTCCCTGGAGATACATAACTATAAATATACTGAAATATATAGAAAGAAATACTGAATTATGTAATAAAAAGCATTTAAAATTAGGCAACACTGGTAATAATACTAAATCTCCATGTCAGAATACTACAAATTTGTAAGTTGTAGGTCCCCTCTTGTTGCCCTTGGTGCTAAAACTCCTGCCTTGGGATGATCAGACCCATTTGTACCCCATCAAATATGGATATTTTGTCATTTACTCTCAGGAGTGTTTTTAAAAGAGGCTTTTGCTGGGGAGCCCTTGGGGAGGGAGGGGAGCCCTGCAGTGCTGTCAGTGCAGGCAAGGAGGTGAATCCAGCCAGGCTTTTGTTAACCCAAACCACAAGTGCAAATGAGGAAAGGCCAGCATGGCACCAACCCAAAACCAATATCTGTGACCCCAAACTGATTTTGTCTTTCTGAAACCATTGTGTACTAGCAAGAAATACTTAGCTCACCTTGGCAAAGTACAAACCCTGTAATTCTTTGTTTTTTCTGTTTTACCAGTGAATACACAAATCAGAGTCTCTCCAGTTTATACTATTTTATTTATGAAGTGTTTGTGCCTCTGTAGAACTCGTAGAAGATGATAAAAAATTTATAAATATGCAGAGGGGCAAAGTTCCTCACTGGAACTTTGAGCATTTCTC